TTCAGGATGGCTATCTAAGATGGGTCAGCCTCATGCACTGCTTCATCCAGGACTTTAGACAAGCTCTACACTTTCATATGCACATTGACTGGACACATGATATGTCTAGCTCTCCCAGATCTTGACCATTGTTTTATTTTATCAGGATCCCCTAGGGATGCCATGAACCCTGTAAACACATAAAGCAATCCAGAAAACACAGTGCTCACATTCCCTAGAGGTAAGATTGTTGGTTCTTGGTCTTCTGCTGGGTTGTAGATATTTGTCATTATTTAGGGTGGTTGATTGCAAGTCCTAGATTCAGAGATTTAACTCTGAAGAAAAATGGGGGATATAGAAATGATAGGAAAAAATGGTAGATTATTTACTCTACTTTTAAACTGAAAAAGTAACTACTAGTCTTAAATATTTTACATTGGATTTTTGTATATTGATAATAAACTTTAAGGTTATTCTTGTGATACTGTATATGTGCTTCTACTTTTGTTTATTATATCTTTATAGAAATTTAAGATTATACTACATGTATGTTTTTACTCTTGCTTTAGATGTTTTTGTATATTGATACAACTTTAAGGTTATTTTTATTAGAATATGTTGTTCTACTTACTTAAGGTACAGCTCATTTAGAATGTAATGTAAATTTCTAGTCATTGAAAGTTCGTTACAAATTGTTTAGTATAAGTAAGAAATAAAGATTTCCATTCTCTATGGAGGGATACCTAGCTCAGCCTAGATACAAGGGGGAGGGTCTTGATGTTGCCTCAAAGTGTTGTGTCAGACTTTGTTGACTCCCCATGGGAGGCCTTACCCTCTCTGAGGAGTAGTTGGGGGTGGGGTGGAGAGAAGTTTGGGAGTGTGGGAGGAGAGGAGGGAGTGGAAACTGAATTGGTATGTAAAATAAGAAGAATGTTTAAAAATATAAAAAAGAAACACAGGCTAATAGTCACATATAACTAAACTTATATTCATGTTAGTTATGTTTTCAAGATCATACCTAGATATATTTTGAATAGATAATCTTCAAACACCTCAAATAACTACAGAATATGTCATTTAATCTGTTTTAATTACTTAGACCTTTCTTGACATGAGAAACATCTGTTCCTGGTGACAATGATCTTCAAAAAAGGATGATGGACATCAAAGACCTTCCATTATGAGTTTTCTTTGTTGCAAAGTCCAGCTGTTTTGGCAAGAAACTGTACTTGCCTCAACTTCTGACAATGTTTTGTCCAAACTGAACAAATAAGACACAAAGATAAGAGACTGCTAAACTTTTCCAAGACGGGGTATGACAGGCCTTCAAAATTTTCTGCTTCATAAAAATTCTTTCAGATGTTCTAGGCCTGTAGGACAAAGATGAATGGTCCAACATTGTGGAGGAACATAGGGGGACTCTGCAAACAACCAGCTGTTTCTGCAATTTCTCTTAACTTTGGAAATCATATGCTATGTGCTTCCTGCTTACTCAAGTAATAATATATCTTTCTCAGGCTTTTGGTTGGGTTAAAAAACACACATTTACAGTTGCTGTTCTCCCAAATCATGTTAAAAGATATATTAAAAATAAAACTTTGGACTCTTCATAAGAGGACAGCTCATGGAGTAATCACTCTAAACTCACCAATTACATAGACTTTGCCATTGAGAAAGTTTTTTATTTATATATACATTTTCATTTTTTAAAAAAAGAAAACAAAGTATCTTTTTAAATTATATATACAAATCCAAGTTCCTACTTCCTCCCCTCCTTCCATTTCCTCCACTTACCCCCGACTCTACCCCATCCACTCCACGGAGAAGGTAAGGCACACTGCTTTGGGGATAGTATAAGGCCCTCACTATCACATATAGGCTGAGCAAGATATCCATTCAAAGAGAATAGGTTGCCAAAAAGCTGCTTTTTTACAAGCAGAAGGGATAAATTTGGGTGCCACTGTCAGTGACCCCACAGTCTGCCCCAGTCATGCAACTGTCAAACACATTCAAAGTGATGAATTTGGTCCTATGCTTGTTCTTTCCCTTTTCTGCTGGTGTTGGTGAGCTCCAATTAGCTCAGGTAAGCTGTTTCAGTGGATGTACCCACATGGTCTTGACCTCTTTACTCATATTCTCACTCATCCCACTCCTCAACTGGACTTTGAAAGCTCAGTCTAGTGCTCCTATCTGGGTCTCTAACCCTGTTTCCATTAATTGCTGGATGAAGATTCTATGGTGTTATTTAAGATATTCATCAATCTGACTATAGGGCAAGGACAGTCTAGTCTGTCTCTCCTGTATTGCTTAGGGTCTTAGCTGGAGTCATCCTTGTGGATTCCTGGGAATTTCTATAAATCCAGATTTTTTTTCCTTGCCTCATAATGGCTCCCTCAATCAAGATATCTCTTTGTTTGCTCATCTTTTTTCTTCCTCAATCTCAACTATCCTGTATCCTCAAGTTCTCTTCACCCCTCCCTTTCTCTCCTTTATTTTACCCTCCTCCATTCTTCCCCCACCCTCATGCTCCCAATTTTGTCAGGCTATTTTACCTATTTCTACTTTCCAGATAGAACTCTATATGTTTTCCTTGGGGTTTGTCTTGTTACTTAGCTTCTCTAGCATCGTGACCTATAGGCTCAATATCCTTTGCTTTACAGCTAGTATCCACTTGTGAGTGAATACATACCATATTCCCATATTCATCCTTTTGGGTATGGGTTACCTTACTCAGGATGGTGTTTTCTAGTTCCATCCATTTGCATGCAAATTTCAGAATGACATTTTTTTTTTAACCACTGAATAGTAATCTACTGTGTAAATATCCCGATTTTCTTTATCCATTCTTGGGTTGCGGAGTATCTAGGTTGTTTCCAGGTTATGGCTATTATGAATAATTATTCTATGAACATAGCTGAGCAAAAGTTTTCCTGCATTCTCTATATCTAGTCAACATAGTTCTTGAAGTTCTGCCTATAGCAATAAGACAGCAAAAGGAGGTCAAAGGGATTCAAATTGGAAAGGAAAAAGTCAAACTTTCATTATTTTCATTATTATAGTATATATAATTGACCTGAAAGACTCTACCAGGGAACTCCTAACGCTGATAAATACCTTCAGTAATATGGCAGTATACAAGATCAGCTAAAAAAGTCAGTATCCCTCCTATATACAAATGATAAAGAAGCTGAGAAACATGACTTTTCACAATAGCCACAAATAGAACAAAATATCTTGGGGTAACACTAACCAAAAAAGTGAAAGACCTATTCTACAAGAGCTTTATTTCTTAGAAGAAATAATTGAAGAAGCTACCAGAAAGTAGAAAGATCTCCCACATTCTTGGATAGGTAGGATTAACATAATGACAATGGCAATCCTACCAAAAGCAATCTAAATATTCAATGCAATCTCGCTCAAAATCCCAATACAAATCTGCACAGTCCTTGAAAGAACAATACTCAACTTCATATGGGAAAAAATACCCAGGTTAGCCAAAACAATCCTATAGAGTAGAGAATGTTTTTATTACTTGATAATTTTCTTGTTGTATGTTGTTTCATTTTTGTTAAGGTTATTATGTTTTCTTTCTATTTGGACAACATGTGATGATAATTCTTATTGTTTATAGTTTTACGATGTTATATTTAGATCCTTGCCCATTTTATTAGTCAAAAAGGGGAAATGTTACAGAATTTCCATTTATGTAACCAACCCATTTTTCAACTGAAAAGAGTTGTAGTTCCCATTCAGCTGGCCAGAACGGATCAGCAATTGTTGGAGGACCCAGGAGTTGAAAGAGATCCTAAGGTAAAAGGTGGGGTCAGATATCTGTGAGCTATTGTCTTAATTTTCATTGGTGTAGAAGGGCTCAGTCCTCTGCAGCAGGCAACCTTCCCTAGGTAGATGACCTTATACTCTATAACAAAGCTACCTAATTATGTGTCTGTGAGCAGGCTAGACACTGAACCAGTAAACTGTATTCTTCCTTCGTTTCTGCTCTACATTTCTTTCTGCTCTGATGTCCCTCAATGATATATTGTGAACTGGAACTGCAGACCAAGTAAACTCTACCATCCCCACCATTTGCTTTTGATCTAAGAGTATTTAATATCAATGACAAAAAGAAGACTAGACAACAGTTAAATAGAACGCTTTATCAATAACCTTAATAAAGACTATAGTCAAACAATAAAATATAAGTAGATGGAATCTAACAGTTCATTAAAAGATTGCCATTCTGAGTACGTGAGTGTGATCTCTAAACACTCATCAAAGTCAAAGAGGATGACCATGCTCCACAATGATGTCCTCTGACCTTATATGTGAGCTGTGGCAGATACATGCAAGCACATAGGCACACACACACACACACACACACACACACACACACACACATCTGACACACATACAATAATAAAACACTTACTTTTAATAATCTTTTTTTAGCCTAAAATATCTATTAATTCTGCTCTATAATTAAAAATAAAGTTTCCTATCTTCAAGATGATGACAATCACATAGGACTCTGCAAAAAGTTAACCTATAGTAACACTAGATCTTAGAAAATTGAAATATACCTCCCCTTTCATTTGTTGCAATAACATAATCTGTTATTCAGATTATATTTTGGAAACAGTCCCACATGTCCTTGTCCTGCGGGGGGCTTATTTTCTAGAAAGAATTTTAAATTAATTTATTCAAGAAACATACAGGTAGCATGGTCGTGTGCATACCTCACATTGCCTAGGCAGCCTCTATCATGGATCCCAGCTAGAGATGAGATGAAGCTACCATACAAGGAAAGGAAGGTTTGGAAATAGGGATGCAAATGACACAATAACATGAGGATTGCCACAAAAATGTTTTCACACATTGTGTGCAATCATCAGTGATTACTAATCAATATGGGAATGAATCAAAGAGACATGGGTTCTCCATTCTGTATTACAAGATAATGGTCACCTCTTATCTTTCTCCTTCTACATTAAAAAGAAGTTGAAGAAAAAGTATTTTATTACCTGTTTGATTGGAAACGTGTCTCTCTGGACAAAACACACAAGAAAAACAGCAGATAGGTCTGTCTTTTTCTATAATTTTCCAGAAACCTGGACCACAGCTCTGTGTACATATAGATTGAGGAGTCTAAGGGCAAAATAGAAAACCTAGTCATAAATTTGCACATCAGTCACAGGCTTAAGGTAGTTTTAACCAAAGCAATTTAAACTGCATGAAGACTATGAAAGTTATACATATTTATGAGGCACTGTGAGGTCTCCATACGGGAGTGTAGAGTGTAGACTTGAAGTTATCACACTTCAAGATACCAAATGTTCAAAGTTTCTTTATGCTGAACAAACTGTGACTCACTTCAGTTAGCATTTGTGATAAGTGTAGAACATCCATATATTCTCTCTGTGAAAGAGCAAGCAAAAACTCCTTCCTTGTATGAATTACAAATCAGATGAACTGTCGGGCAGAAACCCAGTCACTCTTGCCTATCTACTTCTACTTTTAGCTTACCAAGCTTGTAGTCACAACCAATCACTCTGATTGACATGTAACATGAAAGAGAGTTTGGCCATTGGTGGATGATCAAAGCTTCCCTTGACTTCATCACATGTTGATGTTCCAGAGATACTGAAATATGATCCATTACTGTGAGTTTTATCCTTGACTCCCCACACTCAGAGTAATACCATGCTTTTTCTTTCAAATTTTAAAACCAATTTACTTCTAAGTTAATTACATTAACCACTATACTTTTAGCAAAACATCAGTTAGTTAATATTTCTGGAAATTTTGTGTGCAAGAAAATATTCCTATCTTTCCTTTAGACATGTTTCTTGTCATAAATTGGACTCAGTTTCTTTCTCATAAGTAACTACATATCAACAAGTATATGGGGCTGGAGAACTGGCCCAACCATTAAGAGTTCACCCTAGTCTTGCAGAGAAACCTGAGGTCAGCTCCCAGTACACAAATAAGGTAATTTACAAACAATGATTATAGACATGATTATATAAACATTCATAATTTACATATTCTTTATAAGGACTATGGAAAAGTTTGAGTACGAATTGTGTTCAATGGAGAGATGCACTTAGCTTCAACATGCATGTATAATAAAATGGGCGTATGTATGCACATGATTGTGTACATGTTTATACACACAGAAATATACATACAATTGTATATATAGCCATGTACACTGATCTATTAATTCATTATAATATTGATAAATACATAGAAGTTCAAATTTAATTCCAACTCATTCTATCTACAGGAATTAGCTAACAATATCTTCTTGTCTGTTTGTACATGTACCTGTTCATGTATATGTATATATATATGTCAAATTAAAAAGATTGATTTATTTTTAAATTAAAGACATCAAATAGAACAAAAGAGATGGCTCAGTATTTATTGTGACTCCCACATAAGCATGCAGTCCTGAATTTGATCATGCAGAATGGAAGTATAGAAAAGTTTGGTGCCAAAATGTGTGCCTGTTATCCAATTATGGCAGCCATGGAGAAAAGGAGACAGTCTGTGGCATGCTGAACAGTAAGGAAAGCTAAATCAGAAGGCAAGGAGTTCAGAGAGAGATTGTGTTTATAATAAAATGGAGAAGAATTGCAGATGGTAAGATGGTGTTCACTCTGACTGTGGCCTCAATAGCACATGCACTCACTGCATGAGCACAAGCTCACAACAGAGTTAAGAACTTATAATACAGGCAAACCATACATAGATCACCTTGAAAGGGGAAATAGATAATATTGCCTGATAAAATTGGGAGCATGTAGATGGGGGAGATAAAAGGGTTCAAGGGGAAGAGGATAGGGGAGGGGGAGGAGAACTTGAGGGAATGGGGTAGTTGAGATGGAGGAAGGACAGAGATGAGAGCAAGGAAAGAGATATCTTGATTGAGGGAGCAAGCAACCTGGCTCTAGAGAAATTCCAAGGAATCGAAAAGGATAACACCAGCTAAGACCCTAAGCAATAGAGGAGTGGTGTCCAAACTGGCCTTGCCTTCTATTCAGATTGAAGAATACCTTAAATATCACCATAGAACCTTCATCTAGAAACTGATGATAACAGAGGCAGAGACCCACAGTGGAACACTTGCCTGAGCTTTCAAAGTTCATTTGAAGAGTGGGAGGAGTGAGGAGTGAGAATATGAGAAAAGATGTCAAGACCTTGATGGGGACACCCACTGAAACAGTTTACCTGAGCTAATTGGAGCTCACCAACTCCAGTCAGACAGGGAGAAAACAAGCATAGGACCAATCTAGACTCTTTCCATGCTCTCATTTATATCCTTTCTCCATGTCAAGTATCCTGTTCCCCCAAGTTCTCCTCCCCCTCCCCTTCTCTCCTCCTCTTCCACTGTTCCATCCCCCATCACCCTTATACAACAATGAGAGTTGTATGGAAGGTCAGACTGCAGGGCCACTGGCAGTGGCACTATGATTTACTCCTACTGCTTGTACTGGATTTTTGGAACCTATTCTCTTTGGATGGATACCTTGCTCAGCCTGGGTATAGTAGGGAGGGCCTTGGACCTTACCAAAAACAATGAGTCTTACTCTTTCTGAGAAGTGCATGGCTTTGGGGTGTAGGGATAGGTGAAGGAAATGGGAGGAGGGGTGGAAGTGGGAACTGGGATTGGTATGTAAAATAAAAAAGATAATTTGTTTTCTTTTTTAAAAAATAAAATAAATTATAAAAAAGAATTATTTGAAAATTTCAAAGAGATACCATACAATTCACAGAACTTTTGTAGAAGTTTTTCAGCATATTAAAGGTTGAAATTTTGTCATACCTGATTGAAGTTTCTTGGCCATTTGATCATAACTTCATTGATGAATAAGCCTTGATCTTGTGGACTTGTGGAGACAAACTCTCCTACGTTAACTAGAAATGTATAGTGTCTAGCGTGTACAATAAAATTTTGTATATCGTATTTTTCCACATGATTCTTATTCTCATCAAAGCATATTTGTTCTCCATCAGTGCTTACAAATTGAATTTTCCTCAGGAATGGATGAAGCTGGAGAGAGACAGCATTTTGTTAAGAGTGGTGCATAAAAGTTTCTCACTGATGGTTCCTAAGAACAATCCTAGTTCTCTCTCCCTATTCTGGATTTCTTTTTGAAAAGGCTTCATTTGAATCATTGTCTCCCAAGTTTTTCCAGTGAGATGAACTTTGCTCCTCATGAAACTAAAGTAGGAGTAGCTGAACGTAATAGAAAATAGAAATGGCATCTAAGTGGTTAAACATAGCATAGTTGGAAGCATGTTCCTAGTGGAACCAAGGCCCTGTGTCTCCAATTAGAAAATATACATGTTTTTGAGTGAAACTGGGGTAAAAATGTAAGTAACACTATGCATTTGGATCTATAGGCATTAAGATATTTATCTTTTTTATAGCAAACAATGAACATTTGTCTGTACAGTTAGTTAAGTAGATAGGAATACATGTAGATATACAGAGTATCTTGACCATATAATATTAGCAGGAGTTCACACAAAGCTCCTAATTCATAAAAATGTATATTAAATATGCAGCAATTTTTTGTGTCATTTAAGCTTCAGGAACTATAAAGAGACCTACTAATTGCCTCCAGTATTCTTAGATTTAGTTTGAATCACATAATTTGCCTTTTAAATTTGGTATGAACCTTATTGGATGCAAATTAAAATCCAAAAATTCAGTGCTTTAATTAGATTTTTAAAAGATTTATTTTTAGATTAATTCATTTTAATTTGTGTGTAAGTTTCTTGTTGAAGGATAGAAAATGGTGTTTGGTTCCCCACAAGCAGAGTTACAGACAGCCTTAAGCTGCTTTGCAGATACTTGGAACTGAACCCTGGTCTTCTAAAGAGCAGCAAGTATCTAGATTTGTGTTCTTTTCATTTCTGTGTACTGTCTATATGTATGCATATACCCAAACTGCATGTATGATTCCTAGAATGGAACTTACACATAGTTGTCAGCCACCAGGTGTATATGAACAACCAAACTAAGTTCCTCTATAAGAAGAACCTAATTGCTGAGCCATTCTTCTATATAATCATTTAAATTAATACAATGGGTTAATACTTCAATTCTGAGATTCACTGTTGTGTCAACTAATTAGCAACTTGTGATTTAAAGACCTGTTTCCTAGGTATTTAGTTATATGTGCAAGAGACATACTAACTTAAAATCTGTGGAAGACTGTGTCAAAGTCTATGTCACATATTATTGTTATTCATTTTAGTAAGAACTACATAATAGAGAAAACATGTAGAGTTAATTTTTTATTTTTTTATTTTTTTAAATTTGGTTCTTGGGATTTTATTTTTTTTAAGTTTATTAAAATATAAAAGTTTCCATTTTCGCCCCTCCTCCCAACACCCTCCCGCTCCCCCCACTCCCTCTCCTCTTCCCTCTCCATCCCTAAGAGCAGTCCGGGTTTCCTGCCCTGTGGGTAGTTCAAGTTCCTTCCCGCTCCCTCCAGGTCCAGGAAGGTGAGTATCCAAACAGACTGGATCCCCAAAAATCCAGAATATGCAGAGGAAACAAGTCCCAGAGTCATTGTCAATGGCTTTTTAGAAAGACTTCGGGTCAGCCACATTCAGGGAATCCAGCCTCCTCCAGAGAATCTGGTTGGATCAAGCGCTCCTTCAGTCTCAGTCAACTGGCCTTGGTGAACTCTCATTAGATCAGTTCCCTTGTATCAGTGGGTGATCGCTCCCCTTGCGGTTCTGATTTCCTTTTAAATGTTCTTCCTCCTTCTGCTCCTCCTTTGGACCTTGGGGGGCTCAGTCCGGTGCTCCAATGTGGGTCTCAGTCTGCATCGCCATCCATTGCCGGATGAAGGTTCCCTCTGATCTTGCCCTCCCTGCTCACGTTCTTCTTCCTTCTGCTTCTCGCTTGGACCTAGGGAGTTAAGTCCAGTTTTCCAACGTGGGTCCCCGTCTCTATCTTCATCCATTGCCAGATGAAGGATCTATGGTGATAAGCAAAATATTCATCAGTATGGTTATGGGTCAAGGCCAGTTCAGGCACCCTCTCCTCTGTCCAGAGAACTATCTGGGGATCTCTCCTTGAACCTGGGATCCCATTTACAGTCAAGTCTCTAGTAAACCCTAAACTGACTTCCATAGTTGAGATATATTCTTCCCTGAACGCATATCTATCCTTCCTCCCTCCCCCCCCAGTTCCCCGAGCATTTCCCATAACTCCCCTGCTCCCTTCTCTTTAACCCTCTCCCCTCTCAACTACCCCCCCATGCACCCATGGTTACCTGGAACTCTTGTCTATTTCCAATCTCCAGGAGGAAAGCTACCTGAATTTTCTTCAGGTTCACCTTCTTATTTAGCTTCTCTAGGACCACGAATAATAGGCTCAAAGACCTTTAATTATGGCTAGAATCCACTTATAAGTGAATACATACCTTATTCCTCTTTTTGGGTCTGGCTTACCTGACTCAGTAGAGTGTTTTCTTTTTCTTTTTTTTCTTTTTCTTTTTATTTATTTATTTATTTATTTATTTATTTATTTATTTATTTATTTATTTTTTATTTAATTTTTACTGGGAACCGCTCCAGAATCAAGTCTCTTGCAACGCTAGAATGGCTCTCTATGTTGCGATATAAACTTCCCTGTTTCCATAACCATCCTTCCTCCATCCCCCCCTCATTCCCCCAAGCCATCCCCAATTCTCGCCCTCTCCCCTCTCCCTAACCATCTTCCCTTACTTCCACCCCCACCCCCCAAAAAACCTGAGTTTCCTTGGCAATCTTGCCTAGTTCTATTATCCAGGATGATAACTATATAAAATTTTCTTCAGGTTCACCTTCTTATCTATCTTCTCTAGGATCACAAATTATAAACTCAAAGACCTTTAACTATGGCTAGACTAAACTTATGAGTGAGTACATACCATATTCCTCTTTTTGGGTCTGGATTACCTCACTCAGTAAAGCGTTTTCTATTTCCATCCATTTGCATTCAAAATTCAAGATGTCATTGTTTTTTACCGCTGAGTAAAACTCTAATGCATATATGTTCCACACCTTCTTTAACCATTCTTCTATTGAGGGGCACCTAGGTTGTTTCCAGGTTCTGGCTATTACAAATAGTGCAGCTATGAACATAGTTGAACAAATACTTTTGTAGTATGATAGGGCATCTCTTGGGTATATTCCCAAGAGCGGAATTGCTGGGTCTTGAGGGAGGTTGACTCCCAGTTTCCTGAGAAACCGCCACACTGATTTCCACAGTGGCTGCACAAGTTTGCATTCCCACCAACAATGGATGAGTGTTCCCCTCATTCCACATCCTCTCCAGCATAGGCTATCATTGGTGTTTTTGACTTTAGCTATTCTGACAGGTGAAAGATGGTATCTCAAAGTGGTTTTGATTTGCATTTCCCTGATCGCTAAGGAGGTTGAGCATGACCTTAAGTGTCTTCTGGCCATTCGAAGTTCATCTGTTGTGAATTCTCTGTTAAGTTCAGTCCCCCATTTTTAAATTGGGTTAATTAGAGTTTTAGTGTCTAGTTTCTTGAGTTCTTTGTATATTTTGGAGATCAGACCTTTGTCTGATGAGGGATTGGTGAAGATCTTCTCCCAGTCAGAAGGCAGCTTTTTTGTCTTATTGACAGTGTCCTTTGCTTTACAGAAGCTTCACAGTTTCAGCAGGTCCCATTTATTCATTGTTTCTCTTATTGTCTGTGTTACTGGGGTCCTACTTAGGAAGAGGCCTCCTGTGCCTATATCTTGTAGACTACTTCCCACTTTCTCTTCTATCAGGTTCAAAGTGGACAGATTGATGTTGATGTCTTTAATCCATTTGGACTTGATTTTTGTGCATGTTGATAGATACGGATCTACTTTCATTCTTCTACATGTTGACATCCAGTTATACCAGCACCATTTGTTAAAAATGCTTTCCTTCTTAAATTGTATACCTTTATCTCCCTTGTCTAAAATTAGGTGTTCATAGGTTTGTGGGTTAGTATCCGGGTCTTCTATTTGATTCCATAGGTCGACTTCTCTGTTCTTATGCCAATACCAAGCTGTTTTCAATGCTGTAGCTCTGTAATAGAGTTTGAAGTCAGGGATGGTAATGCCTCCAGAAGTTCCTTTATTGTATAAGATTGTTTTGGCTATCCTGGGTTTTTTGTTTTGCCATATAAACTTGATTATTGTTCTCTCAAGTTCTGTGAAGAAGTTTGATGGGATTTTTATGGGGATTGCATTGAATCTATAGATTGCTTTTGGTAGAATTGTCATTTTTACTATGTTGATCCTCCCAATCCAAGAGCAGGGGAGGTCTTTCCATTTTCTGGTATCCTCCTCAATTTCTTTCTTTAAAGGCTTAAAGTTCTTGTCAAATAGGTCTTTCACTTCCTTGGTTAGAGTAACCCCAAGATATTTTATGTTATTTGTGGCTACCGTGAAAGGTGATGTTTCTCTCTCTGCCGTTTGATTAGTTTGGATAAGTGTTTGTCAATCTTGTTGATTTTCTCCAAGACCCAGCTTTTTGTTTCATTGATTCTCTGGATTGTTTTCTGTGTTTCTATTTTGTTGATTTCAGCCCTCAGTTTGATTATTTCCAGTCTTCTACTTCTCCTGGGTAAATCAGCTTCTTTTTTTTCTAGAGCCTTCAAGTGTGCTGTTAAGTCTCCAATATGTGCTTTCTCCGTTTTCTTTAATTGGGCACTTAGTGCTATGAACTTTCTTCTTAGCAGTGCTTTCATAGTGTCCCATAGGTTTGAATACGTTGTGTCTTTGTTTTCATTAAATTCAAGAAAGAGTTTAATTTCTTTCTTTATTTCTTCCTTGACCCAGGGGTGATTTAGTAGTTGACTGTTCAACTTCCATGAGTTTGTTGGCTTCCTGGGGGTAGCACTGTTGTTGAATTCTAACTTTAATCCATGGTGATCTGACAAGACACAGGTGGTTACTAATATTTTTTTGTATCTGTGGAAGTTTGCTTTGTTACCGAGTATGCGGTCAATTTTCGAGAAGGTTCCATGAGCTGCAGAGAAGAAGGTA